AGCTGTAGTCACTGTTGACAAATTCAAAGTCGAACGAACCGAGTTCGTGAATAGATATAAGGACGCTGATCGCCGAGAGGGGCAGAGTCCTTTCAGCCAGCCGAATAGAAAGACGTCCGTAAAAATTCTGAGCCGAGGAGTCCACCCGCGAGACATAAGGGTATTTCCGCGTTGTAATAATCGTTCGATTGAATAAAGTGGCATTTGATACAAACATTCTCCTACTGACATTCCTTCCTGTGGCCATTCCCTACAGAGATTTTCTTTTTACTAAGAAGAGATTTAACAGAATGTTTTCAGTTTTCGGGAATTTTAAGTCAATATTAATATTATAATTTTATTCCTATTTAATGTTAATTTCTGATATCTCATGTAAGTTTCTGATCAAAGGTTTCTGATATTAAACCTGTTGTAGATAGAATATCTACTAGCAATCCCCACTTGATACCATAAAGTATATAAGTGAAGTGTTGCTCAGATATCACCGCACCACATTGCACATTAGAACGACAGTGCTGAAGTGGGGAAAGTCAAAGATGGGAAGTCCAAAAGGCTACATGACATCTGACGAAGCACGAAAGTGTTATATATTGTCTATACTCGATGAGTTTAGTGAAAATTTGAAGGATGTACGTGGAAAATGTATGGACGTTGGTTGTGGTCCTGGAGATATAACAAAAGACTTTTTGTTACCAAGCCTTGGCTCAAATGCACAAATAATTGGTAAGAGAATAATAATAGAAGAATTATAGAAATGTAATAACAAATCAACATTATAAGTAATTATTTAATTCTCTGATTTCGCGTTTCGTGAAGGTACGGATATTTCGGAGAGCATGATCAAATATGCGAATAAAACATTTAACGACGAAAACCGGCTATACTTCGAAGTATTGGATATTCAAACTAAAAATCTGCCTGAGAAATATATTTCTGAATTTAATCATATATTTTCCTTACACACTTTGCAATGGTGCAATGACATTCGGTAACTAAGATATTATATAAAATATAATTAAAACTAAAATGTATTTTAACCCTTATTGATAAATAAGCCTTATCATTAAACTTTTTAAACAGTGTAAAGTAATTTTTTCTTGCAAACATATTGTGCATGTGTGCTTCACTTTTTGAATAAAACAAATGTTTTAAATTTATGCACACAATATTATTTTACATTTTGACGTCTTTATTGTTCATAATATTTCTTCACACACATATTTCTATAATATATGATAACATAATAGCATAATTTGAAAAACAAGCAATACACATAAAAGTGCAAAATATATGAATATATCACCTGTTTTATATAAAAATGCATTTTAAAAATATGCTATTGACAAATATTTTAATAAAAGTATGTGTTTTAAAAAAATTAATTACATTTATTTGTTTTATTTAACAGACAAGCCTTTAAAAATATATATCAAATGCTACGACCCAATGGAACGATACTTTTGTACATAGTACAATCTCAGGATGTGTTTGAAGTTCTCAGGATTTTGGAACAGGACATCCGCTTTGCACAATATATACCGGTATATATATTATTAAATTTTAATTAATATTTGATTTGCTTTCTCATTATTCATTTTTATTACACGTTTTATTACTTTGTAATTTTGGCACTGTAAATTGTAAATTATTATTTTTATGTTTATATAGGATACGATGAAAAACATTTTTCCATTTTATGATTCAAATAATCCTCGCAAAGACTTAAAAGAATTACTTCAAAGTGTCGGATTTACAATTCACCATTGCAGTCTTCGGGAGGCGAGCTATTCTGAAGAAAAATCGAGACAGTTTTTGAGTAAGTTATATTAAAAATATGCAAGAAGTAATAATTTTACGTTATAAAATTATTAATAGTTTAAAGAATTTCCTTTTCGCTATTTTATTTATTAAAATTATAATGTAACCTTAATATTATTATAAATTATATATGCGTTAATTTTTTTGATAATCATACGTATATTTTTTTAACAGACTTGATAATATCCCTCTTAACATTTCTTGAAGACATGCCACAAGATCTGGTAAAAGAATACAAGAATACACTTACATGTGAATTTCTAAAAAGAAAAATTAACTATAAATCAATATATAATAATCAGGAACTTACATTAGATAAATATAAAATGTTATTAGTTTATGCACAAAAAGTATAGTAGTCTATAACAATTGTATAAGCATATACGCAGTCATAGAATAAAAAATCTATAGAAGACATTAGCATTTTTGTAGCACTAATTGTATTAACAGATACTTATGATTAATAAATAATTATTAATTAATAAATAGTTAATAATTTATTCCACATCTTTTATCTAGATTGATATATGCATTTGAAATTAAATTTTAAAATATAAAATTTTTTATACACGATAGTCACAATGTGTATTTGTATGTGTGTGAGAATTTCTTACATATTGTTTGCTAAAGAAATTTATAATATACAAATGTAAAATTTAATTTATGTGTTTATATATTTCTAAAGTATTGGGTCAATTTATAAATAAAGTCTGTGTTACTTAACAAACTGAATTTTTATATTTAAAAAACGTTAAAACAATATAAGTACTAATTCATAAATGATACACGTAATTACTTGCAGCAGATAAAATAATTACATACCGTGGGTAATATTGGTTTCTTATAAAGGACGTATTTTGTATTCAGTAATTATGTACAACAGAACTCTTATTTATGAATAAAAAATTATAATAACTACCCATACAGCAAAATATATCACCATATCTAAATAATAGAATATCTGATTGTGCATCAACACTTGTCGAGATATTATGAGAATATCTCAGAGACATCTCCGAGATTATAAAAAGCCATGATAATTTTATCTCAGATATGATATCTGATTCTGCATATATATCGGATATCTATATCCGATTTAAAAGCAGATACGTTATATACAACCCAAATAACAAGAAGAAAAGAAGAATTCTTTTTAAATTCTCGATTTCTGAAATTAATTCTCTTTTTCAGATATATTTTGCTGTGTGGGATATTTTGACAGTTGTGTGTATCAAGAAGTTAATAGTGTAATAGCATAATGTCAAAGCTAAATAGCGCGCGCGAAGCGCGCGTCTGTGGTGTCTAGTTATATAAAATATAATATAAACATATTATATTAATTATATAAATCATATTATATATAAGCATTATATAAATAGAAATGAAAAATTTATCTGTTCTCGTTTAATTCTTAATTTCGATATTCTGTATATGACATGATTGACACGTTATCATTACCGCTACATTAAATCACAAGATATCATCGAAGAAAAATCAGAGAAAGTTGGAAATAATACTTCTTTCAGAAAGAAATTGAGAGACATATGGAATTTGATGAAAAAAAAATGGCAGGGTTGAACTGGCAGAAGAAGAGAGAAGAAACTAGAAGTAAGATGAAGAATGAGACACCGTGATGAATGACATAGAAACAAGAAGAGAGGAGATTGGCACAGTATAGCTGTCGATTCTTCTTTCTTTTCTTGGCTTCATTAACTTCGCGATAATTGGCCATGCTCGTAATTCGTGTTCGCAGAATGCCCGCTTGTTTCTAACAAAATTATCCCTTAAAGACCAATTGCGATAAACTTTCTCTAACTCGGGATTTAATAAATTGAAGAAGGGATATTCTCTCTCTCTCTCTCTCTCTCTCTCTCTCTCTCTGTTGACCGAAAATTTCAAAAGATTTGATCGATATCCATCGAGAAAATATATGTATACAAATGTCAGAGGAAACATCTATGGTTGATTTGCTCATGCGAGGCGCACCTTGATTATTTCTTCATTGGTTCGAATCGATGGTACTTATTTATATTATAGATCGTATATACCTATAGATCGCATTTTAACCGTAGGATATAAACTTTGGTATTTCTAATTTTTTTTTTAATAAAGATTTTGTTCAAGAAATTATTTCGCGTAACTACTTTTCTGATTTGCGTACCTACCTTAATAGAAAAATGTTTCTCTCAAAATTTATGTGTATCTTTAAACGTACATCCATTCTGTTGTAAATTGCGGAAGTTTCGCTTTTCCCGTATGTCACACAGAGTATTTCTCGACCTTATAGACTTGAGGACAATGTTCACATTCGCTTGCTACAACGCGTATAATTTTTTCTCGAAGTAACTTTCTCGCATTGATTCATAACTCTTTCGATTGTCTGGCGATTCCCACGAGACCTACTAGGTTATAACTTTCGCAAAAGGTCTTTTACCCCTACTCAATACTTAAAATGACTAAACAAAGTTTTAAGGGAAAAGTTACGAGAATATTCTGCGTCTCCCCCATCTCCCAACTTACACGCATCTTGAATTATTCAATCGTAGTTGAGAATCTCGTTGAAAACTCGTAGCGATCGTGACGATGTGTTGGATGAATCGCGATAAATTTTAAGACTGTATGCGTAAAATTAAACGTGGATTTCCGATTAAATTGTGACATTTAGATGACTATTTGTGGTTAAATAAATCTTTATCGATAATATATAAGTTAAATAATTTAATTTCTTTAACTCTTCCAAATCTTTATAAGGATATTTCTAATCGTATAATTAGATCTTCTGAATCGTTTTATTTAATAAGGAAATTTTGGCCGTTTAACGAGAACAAGAATATCAATCTCACAAATTATTTAAAGCAAATTAAATTCAATTTTCTCCGCGAATAAAGGAGAAATATCAAAGATAAGTTAATAATCTTTCTTTATCCATGGAATTTTTTACTGTTGCAATGTCTGATATGGTCAATATTTAATCAACGTTCATCACGAGAAATATTTAATATGACTAGCAATTTCATGTAAACGAAACATCATTTAAAATTTACTCTGGCAATAAATGAATCGCTGTATTCACCGTGATAGAACGGATAACCGCTGAATTACGATGCAAATTCTCATGCATCTCTATTAAAGCTAAAATTATCGCTCGTCCTGACGTTTTCTATGCAACAATTACGACTTACCAACTATAGTGAGACGAACAGGATGACCGATGGGTGGAGTCGTGGATATTTGGCACTCGTAGATACCAGAATCCTTTCGCTGCGGATATCGTATTCTCAGAATCCATTCTTCTGTATTATATTTGTGCATCGCCTCGAAACGTTGATCGCTCGTGTAAGTGTAACTGCCGACTGTCAGCAAGTGAATGTCACGATGTCTCACCCATGAAACCTAAGAGAGAAACAAACAACCAAATATCGACTTATTTACTTTACTATAATTAACAACAAAAATAATTTATTTTTAAAATCAAATATTGTATCTTATATTCTTTTATAGCAATAATTACAAACTAAATAAAAGACGAATTGCAGTAGTATGAGTGTTTTCACTATAAATCCGTGGTTAACAACAGGCTGACAAAAATATGTCGGTTTCTGCAATCTGAATGCAGAAATCTTGAGTTACCGCGAGCTGCGCGTATTGCTAACTATCACCGCTCTCCTCGCGCCCTGTTGCTCGTAAGATTGGACGATAAAACTTTATACTCTCCCTTTTCCTAGCCCCGAGAAATTTACGAGTGCAGTAGATTCGCCGCAGCTGGAATACTTCATGTCTTTGTTTAATGCTGTATAACTCCGTGATGTATGACTACAATCTCGGTGCAACGACGACTCCCGTAATACTCTGCAATTATTTATAGGGCGAATAGACGCGGCAAATTTGTTCAACTTCTATTAAAAATTATGGAAACGAAAATGTAAACGAATAGGCCCGCATGACGCGAAATATATTAATCAAATAAAATAATATAATTTAATAAAATATTGTTTAATTGTGTTAAACTACCTTAGTAAATTGTGTTAAAATATCTGAGTGTTGTGAACAAAGTATATTAAAATTATGTCGTTACATCAATATGATAATAGCATGGTTGAATTTTGTATAAAGTGACATTCACTAAGTTTGAATGATGCTGAGAAGTTCTTGAAGCTATTAATTAGAGCAGAATCCAACCGATAATTCGGAACTATTATAACATTCGTAACCTGTGCAATTTCCCCACGTGTCGGAAATTACGTCGTAACGACTAACCTGGCGCTTTAATAACTTGAATGATTTTTGCTACTTTATTAGATTACTTTAACAGATTACATTAAATTCTGCCCGTTGATGATTCATATGCAATTTCGCAAGAATTGTATTCATTAAATCGTATCTTACTATAACATATTTACCAATGGCTAAACTGAAAACAATATCACTAACTGATTCTCATTTCACCGAATACCCAAGAATTTCTTTATGTAAAAATAACAATGGAAGAAGATAATTTCAGTTAATTACCTTTATGTCTGTAAACTCAGATATTGTATACCGATTCAACAGTGATTAATTTAATAATCCGTCTACCTTTATTTTAATGCCTGCATTCAAAGCGAAAATCTTGTATTTCACATAGGATTGTTCTCATAAAAGTTAATTAATGTAAGCTGTGGTGCAAGTGAATCTCTTTATTCCCTTTCTAAATGTAGAATAGAGATGGGGAATTAGCTTTGTTATTTTATGAAAACGGTGGCACGATATTATTTTCCGCATTGCGCTGTAATATGTTGCGCATGTGTGCATAATACATTGCACAAATCATCGCGGTGTTGATCGACTGCGAGGCAAAATTCACGATGCGCACTTGTACGCTTGAGTATTATCGGAAATATAAACTGCGAGAGAGAGAGCTCCCCATTGTCGATCTAATGCGATTGCCGCTCGAATATGCCGGCGTCGCCGGTTAATATACTTTTCGCAAAAAGAAGGCATCGCCTATACCCCGGTATACTCCGGGGGAAACTTTTTCCGCGTAATAAAATTCACGATATGCGCGCGAGAGAGAAAAAGAACATGCTCGTGCACAGCTTCGGCAGAAATATGCGAGATAAAACCCAAGAACGCACTGTGACTGCCATAACGGCGATTGCTGCACTTCCTTTCTCGAATCTTTTTGCATGCGCGCGGGACCGACTTTCAGAGTTAATATCATTTCGAGAATGACGCTTATTCTTATCCGCCGGGAGGCGCAACTTTTTCACGTAACTTCATCGTTTTCGGCTTCTTCATATCCCAGCGCTCGCTCGCGAGTCAGAGACTGTGCGTAATTTCGTCGAACCGAGCAATTCCATTGACATTCTCTCGCAACACTAATGCGTACTCGTGTATACCCCCATATATATAGTGACGAGATATTATGATATCGCATTGTCATTAGTGTCCGTTTTAATAATAGAGTGTTAATTACCGTGACTGAAGCTTATATTATACTTTTCTATCGCATGTACTATAGGTAAATGCACGATGTCAACGGCAACATATTAGACGGTACATACGTAGCTGCGGCTGACATAAATGCGAAGATCAAGCTTTGCATAGAGATGAGACTCTGGGATTAAAACTGTGACCTCCCGACCGGAGTCTGCATGAAGACATAGTCTGACAAAGATCGTCCTTTTCTACTTAACCGCTACGATAATCCCCGAGTAGTGCCGTGAACCGTTAATACTAGAGATCGAGGACGCCCGAAGGTCCCAGAGTGGAAGATAAATTCCCTGAGGGCCGTGTCCGCCTTCGAGTTAATTTACCGACCTACTCGAAACACTGATTTAACTACGGAGGCGAAAAAATTCGTCTTACGGCCCGGTACAAGCGGAACCGATTTAACTTAATCAATGATGGAAGATGGAAGTCTGAGTCGAGATTGAGATCTCGGGGTGGTCGCGATATTGCAACAGTGGCGACGATATTTACATAATTGGAATAATAGTATGATATTTTCGTTCCTATAGCTAATCTACGAGAGATATTCCGCTATTCCCTCTTCCTGCTTTTCACCCCGACAAATTACGACGTAAACATTGCCGTTTGCGACATTCGTTACATTTTCATTCTATATAATTCACCAATCCCCGCAAACAAGAGAGTTACAGTTTCACGCAACATTTCGAAAATGTTGTCGACGCCGCGTGTCTCAGCTCCGTCGTTCCTGAATCTCGTGCATTATTCGGGCAAGCCTATCTCGCATGTTTGCGGCTTGTCGGTGGTTGTGTTCTCCTGCCAATACCCCGTGTGAAAATTTGAATTGCTACTTGTAAAGGCTTAAGATTTGCTCGTAATTCTGCGATAAGCGAACCAGTAATTCTAACGTGACATACAATTTATCGAATCAACTTTGCGATTATTGGCGAGCGATAAAATTTAATTTTATTTTTTCATATTATTTGCGTTTATATAATATATATAAGTGTTATAAAAATTTTAACGCCAGTAAAATATAACTATTTTAAACTCACCGTTCTGTTTCCGAGATTCTTCACCCTGCACGCCAGTTGAACAGTATCTCCTGCCAAACCAATGATATTGGATGGCACTGTGGTGTCGAAGTGTGGATCAATTTCCGGTGTTGTGCGCTCTTGAAAGGTATCCGCCGTGAGAACACGCGATTCATACGCGGTGCACTCTGGAAAAACTATTTCAATTTTCTCTGTTAATAAAAGACATTCTCACAAACATAGAAAAATTATCATATTTTATATAAAAAAGATGAACACAGGAATAATTATCACGCGATTACATTCCTCAATTAGCTAAAACAATTAGTTAATAGTAGCATGTCGTATTTATTGCGTACTCGAATATTATAAATAAGACTGTTAAAGATATTTTGTCTAAATTTTTTCCACAACATCGATCGTTATTTCGCGGAATACATGACCTGCCAAACGATAAAGAAGAAAACTGATTATTATTGAGCACTGCAAGGAGTGCGTGCACTCGACCGTTTATCTCGGTAATTTTAAATGGAGAAACACGACGAGACGTAGCCATCGGCACATCAGATCTATGCGAACGGCCTCGTGCAGGCTTCGAAAGTACGTATCGTCGAATAGGTCGTATACGTATATCCTGCCTCGCACTGCGGCAAATGCAATTTCGTCCGGATGACTATATCTCCCGTGTTTCGCGGATCGTGAGAGCGCGATGTGACTCATACGTGCGTGGCGGAAAAGCGAAGTCATGTCTATTTGCATGGAAGACTTTAGTGACTTGCTGCGTCGGGTGATTACCATTCAAACCACAATCTTCCCCGATGGAAATAGTTCGATAGTATTGCGAACTGCTGCTCGTACCGATAGAAAACGTCTGGATTTGTGCCTTAAAGTGGATTCTAGCTGACTTCAGCTCGATAAGACTTCACACCCGAGATTTCGCGCTCCGATAATCCATGATATGCAAATTATCGAGAAACTACCGACATTGTACTGTCTGATGTTAGTTTTTATTATTGACATTTCAAAATCTCGGGTACTCGCAACTCGTGCGTTCGCGTAAAAGGGTCGGTCTCGCTTCGCGTGTACTTGGCGCGAGACACTACCGTGTCTCTTGATTATATTGGCTCAATTTGATTGTATCACAATTTATATTGTACTAAAATATAAAGCGATCTAATTAAGGATATATTAAGCCGATCAACTATATTTAACTGGACTTTTATCTTTCTATATAGTTATATGTAGAAACTTACAATTGTGCAATTGGACATAAGTAAGATGTCAAATTAAGAAACTATGTGAAGACAGTCCTTGTTCAACGAATTTATTGGAAGGAGAGAGAACGACGCTATAGAATTATTTCCAAGAGTTTATTTCCAAACCATTTTTCGTCGTGTCCCTATCCCATTACCGCGATACGCTTTAAATATGCCGTAGAAACAAGCATTTTTCGTTCGCGTGCGACGGAACGATCTTTTTTCGTCGGCACAGCAACAGTTTAATCGGCGCGGTGTCTCGTACTTTAATGCAATATACGTTGCGCGAAGCTGTTAAACCGTTAATAAACGATACGGTCGGTCGAAAGCACGGTCTTTCTCCTGTCGGCGCGAGCACCGCGCCCGACTTTGATAAAGTGATAACGATTCCAACGGTCTGTATCCTTCAGGTCGTACACTAAAAGGGAGGGAGAGAATGAGATGAGTTTTGCGAGATGAAAGGCCCAACTGAACAAGAGAGGCCGAACGGGGCACCCTCACCTAAGCTATTTACTGTAATAAGCTTGGCGAACCCTCAAGAGAGAGAGGGTCCTATGAAACTCGCAAATTAACCTCTTCCATCCCTAAGTTGCCTGGCAAAAGCCGAGGTTTAGCAACTAGTTAAATTATTAGTACTCCTCTTGTCATTTCGGGATGCTATAGAA